GTGATTGGATTGGCGGCATTACATATGGCCGTACATTATAAGCTACCGTATTTTCCGGCGTATAAGACGACTGGGCATATAAGACGACCCCCAACTTTTCAAGTTAAAATAAAGAGTTTGGGATATACACGCCGTATAAGACTACCCCTCTTCCAATGCACACCAAATAAAAATTAGCCATGATGTACAGTGAGCAGACAGAGCTACACAGCAAGACATTAAATAATGATAATCTGAAATAGCATTTAAAGCCCAGGTATGTGCCAAGCTGTTTGGGCATATAATCCATGCCTGCTAGTCTAGCACACAGGAGGCTAATTGCGATATATGCGCATACTGCCAATTCTTAACTTTTTATTCTGCTGTGACTACCGTATTTTAAACCTGGCTGGACTCGGCTACCTGGATTTGGGGAATTTATTGGGCGCATGGGCCAAACACTACCAAGGCTGGGCGAAATGGGGCAAACTGTACTCAGACTGGGGTGGCATGGGGCAAACACTATACCAGCTTGTTGGCATTGTGTAAAGTGCACTCATGATGTGTGGCATGGAGCATACACTATACCAGTGATGGCGAACCTTTTTGAGCCCGAATGCCCAAACCGTAATACATGCCAATTTTTTTTTCCTCAAAGTGCCAAAACGGCAATTAAAGGTTTAAGTTTAGATAAAACAACTCATACAGTTGTCCGAACTAATTAACATCTCTGTGTGTGTATTAAGCAGTTTGTGTGTGTGCTCGGCAGTCTGTCTGTATGTGTATTAAGCAGTCTGTCTGTCTGTGTATTTAGCAGACTGCTGAATACACACACACAGACTGCTGAGTACACAGTCTGCTGAATACACACACAGACTGCTAAATACACACACACACAGACTGCTAAATACACACACACATAGACTGCTAAATACACACACAGACTGCTGAGTACACACACACACACTGCTGAGTACATACACACACAGACTGCTGAGTACACACACAGACTCCTAAATACACACACACACAGACTGCTGAGTATACACACACTGCTGAGTACACACACAGACTGCTAAATACACACACACAGACTGCTAAATACACACACACTGCTGAGTACACACACACACAGACTGCTGAGTGTACACACACACAGACTGCTGAGTGTACACACACTGCATCGAGGGGTACAGTGTATGTGTTTGTTTGTGGGGTGATGTGTGTGTGTGGGGGGGGTTGGTGTGTGTGGGTGGGTGGGGTGTGTGTGTGTGGGGTGGTGTGTGTGTGTTTGTGTGGGGTGATGTGTGTGTGGATATGTGTAGGGCAGGGGCAGGTGTGTATGTCTTCCCCTCCCCCCCACTGTTTTCTTTCCCCCCATGCCTCCCTCAGTTCCCCCCCATCTCTCCCTCAGTTTTCTTCTCCCCTCCTGTCTCTCCCTCAGTTTTCTTCCCTCCTCCTATCTCTCCCTCAGTTTTCTTCCCCCCTCCCATCTCTCCCTCAGTTTTATTCCCCCTTCAATTTTCTTTCTACCCCCCATCCCTCCCTTAATTTTTTTATTCCCCCCGCCCTTGTCCTTGATCTCCTACCTTATAGCGTGGCCGAGCGCACTGCGGAGCTCAGTTTCCTGTACCTGGCTGGACAGGAAGTGCTGTCTCTGTGAGCACTTCATTTCCGTCCACCCGGGTACAGGAAACATAAGTTCCTGTACCGCGGTGCGCTCGACCACGCTAGACAGAGTGCCTGGCAGGAGGGAGCGCTATGCGCTCACCTCCTGCCGGTCACTCCGGTTTTGCGCCCGGCTGGTGCACCCTATGGCGGCCACTTATGTGGCCGTGTGCCCACAGAGGGGGCTCGGCGTGCCACCTGTGGCACGCGTGCCATAGGTTCGCCATCACTGCACTATACAGAATGTTCTTCTTACTACTCCCCCTCCCTCCCTGTGTCCTTCTTACTACTCCCCCTCCCTCCCTGTGTCCTTCTTACTCCCCCTCCCTCCCTATGTTCTTTTTACTCACCCCCTCTGTTCTTTTTACTTTCTTTTTACTCCCCCCTCCATTCTTTTTACTCCCCCTCCATTCTTTTTACTCTCTCCCCTCCATTCTTTTTACTCTCTCCCCTCCATTCTTTTTACTCCCCCCTCCATTCTTTTTACTCTCACCTCCATTCTCTCCCCCTCCATTCTTTTTACTCTCCTCCATTCTTTTTAATCCTCCTCCTCCATTCTTTTTACTCCCCCCCCCCAATTCTCCCTACGTTCTTCTCACCTCCCCTTCCCTGTGTAGAGTAGGTGGCCGAGCTCCTCTTCATCCTGTCAGTCCGGCTGGGTTCCGCGCGGTACAGCAGATTCAGTTACCTGTTCCCGGCCGGACTGAAAGGAAGTGAGCACTCAGTGTGTACTTCCTTTCAGTCCGGCCGGGAACAGGTAACTGAATCTCCTGTACCGCACGGTACCCGGCCGGACTGACAGGATGAAGAGGAGCTCGGTGTCAGGATTACTGTTTGATCCAGCACGTAGAACTGTACAGCACGGATGACAAATAAGTAACGTATTACCGGTCCTTAGAATGGCCGGATTTAACGTACAAAGAATAGTCAAAAATACTAGCCGAGGTCAGGGAACACAGAAAGGGACACAGCGATGAGGAAAGCCAGGAGTCAGGATACCAGAATATAGAGAAGTCAATAAACAAAGCCAAAGTCAAAAACCAGGTAGAAAACTATAAACAGGAACGCGCTCTCAGACAACCACAAGGGAAACCACGACAGGGCACTGAGCAGGCTGAGAACTGGGCCTAAATACCCCTCCTTTAGTTCTGATAGGCTGTAACCGGCCTTTGACCCCAAAGTCAGTTACCAGGTTTCATTTGTATAATTGCTGCTCAGCATTAACCCTTCTGTGGATTAGGTTGCTGCTCGGCACAACTTTTCCTGTGTGGACAGTAAATGTCATTAACCACATTTCTATAAGCGGATGAATACGTGACACTCGGCCACCCACGCTACACAGGGAAGGGGAGGTGAGGCAGTGCGGCAGCCGTCTGAGCACTCTATAGAGCGCTCAGGCGGCTGCAGCATTAGAAGGGCCGGCTATGGGGGCGCAGGGCGCCCCCTCCTATATGGCGCCCTATGCGGCCATATAGACGACCCTATACCCGGCGTATAAGACGACCCCCGACTTTTGAGAAGAATTTCCATGTTTAAAAAGTCGTCTTATACGCCGGAAAATACGACTATTCCTGTTCCCCTATCCTCTACTATGTATACTCTGAACATCTTGCCCACACATTGCAAGTCATTTGTAGCGATTATCCGCTAATTGTGGATGTAGCAAGTAGGACCTCTACACTATTCAGCCTTAAAAGTCACCTCAATTTATCCATCTCTTGTTGATAGCCTCTATGGTCACTGAACAGATTCCTAAACTATTTCTAGAACCCTCCATCTGTTTCTAGACCTGCTTTCTCCTTCCACTTAATGTCTTGCCCTTATCACTGGCAATGAGGAATTCTTCATTGGCAAATTAAATCCTATCATGGTCAAAAATGTAACTATTTATATGGAAGTGTAGGTTCCGCAATGGTGTCACTGGCCATGGACACTTGGCAGCATAACAATGAATTGAATTATATTGGTTTTATTGCTTAATGTACCCCATTAAATCACAAATTCACATTCAGTGTATTTATGTCAGTCAATAGCAGCTTTGGTATTTCATACTATGGTAGTAAGGGGTTTAATGAGGTGCTCTAAAATGCACTTCTTGCATTAACCATCCAATGCCTGCGACATCATTAATTGGCTTTAGAACTGGGGTCAATTAGAAAAAAAACAGGGGGTTCATACTGCCATAACTACTGCAATTAACTGCAGTTGTTGTGTTTTTTAGTGCAACCTTTTAAGATGTAGATTAGTCTTTGAATTCCAAGAATGCATGAATTATGTAAACATCTTCTGCGTGAGAAAACAAGTGTACTGTCTAGCCTTGCACAGGTTGATTCTATAATAATAATAAATACAGATATACTCTCAAATGGCTTTGCACTCACCCTTCCACAGTATTCACAATTCCAAATGATGCCTTGGTTCAAATCCACGTTGAAGATATAAAATAAAAAGTAAATGGAGGTGTGCACTCTAAGGTCTTTTCAAAATCCAATTGTGTTTATTCAAAAAAACTGAATTACATGTGCTTGATCAGCGTTTAGATCTTGAGAAAGACCCGAAAGTGTTGAAATGTCGATCAAACACATGTAATTTAGTTTTTTTTTATAAACACTATTGGATTTTAAAAAGACCTTAGAATGCACACCTCTGCTTACTTTTTATTATATATACATACATATATGCACCCCTTCTTTTACCATATATTTATATTTTTATATGGTAAAAGAAGGGGTGCATATATGTATGTATATATAATAAAAAGTAAAAGGAGGGGTGCACTCTAAGGTCTTTTTAAAATCCAAAAGTGTTTACTTTTTTTTTAATATATATAATATAAAATAAAATAAAAAGTAAAAGCAGTACTTAAATGTATGCTTCACTTTCATACAATTATATTAAAAAAATAAAATAAATAAATATATATATATATATTGTATCAAAGAGAAACATATAAATAATCAGAGAAGATGTTGGTATATATTATAAATGAAGAACACAATTGCTCTCCATATAATTAAAAAAACAATATATATATTTATATATTTGTATGACAGAGAAGCATACACTTAAGTACACATGAGTATGCAATACATAAGATGCACTTTATGCTATATTAAATTCCCTAAATAGATCTCCCCAATAGGTCACATAGTATGTGCTTGCAAAGTGTCTGATTGCTTTATGGGAAGCCTCTGATAACACACACCATATCATATCATCAGAGATAGAATACAGTATAGTCTGACGCTGCAGTACTAGTCTCTGCACCTGCAGGTGTCGCTGGTTCGATACAAGGACCGTTAGTCGCCCCCGTGACGCCCTATTTGAATTGCTTTCACCTCTATGGTCGAACTCTCTTCGCCTACAGCTTCCGGTTCCCCTGCACAGTTTGAATCGGTCCCCGGTAGCGACGCGGGCGGCAGCGCCGAGCGGGTGAGCAGCAAACTGTGCAAACACAAACACACAGACAGAGTGAGCCGGGCACGGCAGTCTGCACTGGGCAGAGTTAGCCATAACTTTTTTTTTTTTTGATTGTCCTGGGAGGACTCCACTGTATGTTCATGTGAACTTGTCATCTGTCAACATCCTCACTGAGCTCAGTGACTGCCCACATCACAACTCCCATCACACACAGCCAGCAGGCTCATGGGAGCTGGAGTCCCAATAACAGAAACAAGATGCACTTTGCCCGCCTCTGACACTTTGTTTTTGTTGCTATGAACATATTAAGCTTGTTTGAGCAGTTTGTAATTGTCTAATTTTATTGTTAAATTTCCCCTCTTTTTAGAATATTGTAAAGGCGCTGCGGAATAAGTTGGCGCTATATAAATACCAATAGTAATATTTGCCCTGGGAAAGATATGTAGGTGAGTACAAATACTCACGTTCTCTCACACACACATTTCTACTTGTAGCCTGCTATTCCTCATAACATATAGTTTAGTTTTTTTTCTTCAATTTATCGTATACCTCTGGTATCATCAGTTGTTTTAGTAAAACAGTTTTGCAGAAGAACACCCTGGGAGTTTGTAATGTCTGATACAAACAATGTGGTCATATTTACTTATTTATTGCTGAGATTTATAAAGCGCCAACATATTCTGCAGCGCTGTATAATGGGGGAAAAAGACAGTACAATATAAACAGACCAATACAAAAGGTAGAGCACTCTGCCCGTGAGTTTACAATCTAAAATTCTAACGCATATGTTGCTGAACAGTTATGTCTAACTGCTGCTAATAAAGTTGTAATGATCTGTTCTGGACTCTCCAGACACGAAATAACACTTTTTTTTTTTTTATTGCATGATGCAGGCCGATATTTCTGACTTATGTTTGCATGAAATCTTTAGTGTCTCCTGGTTCTGAAGCTTGGAAATGGTTGGGGTATCTGTTCCTACTACAGTTTACTGGGAGAGCAGTTTTGTTTATAAATATTTCTGCTGTTTATGGGGTGTTATAAGATAGGCACAGCTCTTTCATGTAAATGTAGACTTAAAGTAGCTAAATAGCAATGATTTATACACCAAACAAAAATGAACTTAATGTGAAAAATAATATGAGCATGTATGCATCCTGTAAATACTAATCACTGCACAGGAAACATGACGTGTATTTTTTGCAATATTACTCAAAGTGAGAATCGCGGAAGCGGCCCCTTATGGCTGTCAGTGTCACAGCTACTAGACGCTGGATTAACCCTCAGTGTAAACATAGCAGTTTCTCAGCTGCAGGGTTAAAACTAGAGGGACCTGGCACCCAGACCACTTCATTGAGCTGAAGTGGTCTGGGTGCCTATAGTGGTCTTTTAACAGTATCAATTCTGTCCAACATGAACAACACAAAGTGAGAGCGCTTGGCTAACCCACAATATCACTGCTGTTCAGGATGGCTGAAATATTTATTTACAAATACACATTGCAGAATATGTAGATAATTGTATGCACAATTCTGACAAGTATTATTGCAGTAAATCTCTGACATTGTAATTAGTTCCCTGATGTTCTGTAATACTCATACACATTGAATATTACAATTAAAAGGACACTATAGTCATGAAAACAACTTTAGCTTAAAGGGACACTATAGTCACCAGTACAACTACAGCTTATTGAATTTGTTCTGTGTGTAGAATCGTTACCTTCAGGCTTTTTGCTGTAAACACTGTCTTTTCAGAGAAAATGCAGTGTTTACATTACAGCCTAGTGATAACTTCACTGGTCACTCCTCAGATGGCTGTTAGAGATCCTTCCTGGGTCATGGCTGCCTAAAATGCATCCAAACATTCAGTGTCTCCTCCCTCTGCATGCAGACACTGAACTTTCCTCATAGAGATTAATTAATTCAATTTATCTCTATGAGAAGATGCTGATTGGCCAGGGCTGTGTTTGAATCATGCAGGCTCTGCAACTGATCTGCCTCTTTGTCAGTTTCAGCCAATCCTATGGGGAAGCATTGTGATTCTGAGTTGAACAGCATGTAGAGTTACAGCTTCTGGCATGAATACAGTAAGACTTTGCTACATTTATGGAGGCATGAGGGGCCCATGGGGGGCTAGATGTATGTGATTAAAGGTCAATTTACAGAGCAAGATATACAATTGTTTAAGGTTAATTACATCTAATTTGAAAGTGAAACCATTTTTTTTTTTTTTTCATGTAGGCTGTGTCAATCAGAGCCAGGGGAGGTGTGGCAATGGCTGCATAAACAGAAACAAAGTGATTTAACTCCTAAATGGCAGAGAATTGAGCAGTGAAACCTGAGAGACCTGATCTATACACTAAAACTGCTTCATTAAAGGACCACTAAAGGCACCCAGACCACTTGAGCTCAATGAAGTGGTCTGGATGCCAGGTCCATCTAGGGTTAACCATTTCTGCTGTAAGCATAGCAGTTTCAGAGAAACAGCTATGTTTATATTAGGGTTAATCCAGCCTCTAGTGGCTGTCTCATTGACAGCCCCTAGAGGGTTTCCGCGCTTCTCACTGTGATTTTCACAGTGAGAAGACGCCAGCGTCCATAGGAAAGCATTGAGAATGCTTTCCTATGAGACTGGCTGAATGCGCGCTCAGCTCTTGCCGTGCATTCAGCCGATGACGGAAGAAGAGGGAGTAGAGTCCCGGCGCTGGAGAAAGGTAAGAGTTTAACCCCTTCTTCCCTGTAGAGTTTGGCGGGAGGGGGGCCATGAGGGTGGGGGGGACTTATTAACACTATAGTGCCAGGTAAACGAGTTTGTTTTCCTGGCACTATAGTGGTCTTTTAAGCTAAAGTTGTTTAAGTGATTATAGTGTCCCTTTAAGTTCATTGCTTTGGAAATCTGCAGTTATCTCACTCTCCAAGGTTCTATAAAGACTTAGGGACATTACAAACTGGGAGGGTCAGAAAATTACTGCCTCAAGGAATATGATAGTTCATTGTATAATTGTTTTAAATAGATCTCATAGTATGACACTTGTGACTCTTGGTATCAGTATAACATTTTCTCAAATTTCCCTCTGTTTTCTGACTGTTGCCTCTTTTTGTTATTGCTGAAGTCTAACGGTTTAGTTTCAGTTCTCTATCATACTGTTGTCATTTTACATTCTTCAGTCTTCTCCTTTTTGTTTTCTCTTGTTTTTTTAAAAGTGTTTTTTTTTTTTTTCCTACTAGTAAAATGAAGAAATGTTTATGATGGATCATGATGCTCCTACAATCAAACCTCGAAGAATTCAGAACCAAAATGTAATTCACAGGCTTGAACAACGAAAAATAAGTTCTGGTAAGCCTGGCTCCCACTGGCATCAAGTGCGTATTTTTCATCAGAATGTCTTTCCGAACTACACTGTAGTCAATGTGGAAAAGCCTCCTTGTTTCCTTCGCAAATTTTCCCCTGATGGCAGATATTTTATTGCATTTTCGTCTGACCAGACTTCATTGGAAATCTATGAATATCAAGGCTGCCAGGCTGCTGAAGATCTACTGCATGGATATGATGGAGAAATACTGGCTAACTCCAATGATCAGAGGTCCATAAATATTCGTGGGAGGCTCTTTGAGCGTTTTTTTGTACTTCTTCATATCACCAATGTAGCTTCCAATGGAGAGCACTTAAATCGTGAGTGTAGCTTATTTACGGATGACTGTCGCTATGTCATAGTTGGGTCGGCAGCCTATCTTCCAGAGGAGCCATATCCACCTTTTTATGAAATATACAGGAATAGTGAATCAGTAACCCCCAACCCTAGATCTCCGTTGGAAGATTATTCTTTACATATAATAGATCTTCATACAGGGAAGCTGTGTGACTCACGAACTTTCAAATGTGATAAAATCATCTTGTCTCATAATCAAGGCCTTTACTTGTACAAAAATATTCTGGCAATACTTTCTGTACAGCAGCAGACAATTCATGTTTTTCAGGTGACCCCAGAAGGAACATTTATTGATGTACGGACAATTGGTCGATTTTGCTACGAAGATGATCTGCTAATATTGTCAGCTGTTTACCCAGAAGTGCAACGTGAAACTCAAACTGGAATGGCAAATTTATACAAAGAACCATTTATAAACTCATTAAAGCACAGGTTGCTTGTATACTTATGGAGAAGGGCAGAGCGGGATGGTAGTGCAATGGCCAAAAGAAGATTTTTCCAGTACTTTGACCAGCTGAGGCAGCTTCGTATGTGGAAGATGCAATTATTGGATGAAAACCACTTGTTTATAAAGTATACAAGCGAAGATGTGGTTACCCTTCGAGTCAACGATCCATCACAGGTACAGGTATAGACAAATTATCTCAATTCATTTAATCTAGATCATTATAAATGTTGTTAATTTCCTTTTTTAAAGGGATACTATAGCGTTGGGAATACATTTTTGTATTCGTAATGCTTTAGTCTCTCTGACCCTCGTTATGTAGGTCCCACCACCTCAGTGAGTCCCATTAAAATAAAACCTTTTCCTGGCCCTTTTTCAGACTTGCTCAGTGCTGCTAACTTCTAATCCTGCAACATAATGGATGAGGCATGGTCTCTTCCAGTGTTGTCTAATCCAGTACTCCTAATAAAGGAGAATTAGGGACATGATGCATGGGTCCAAACTATTGATTCAATGCTTTCTTATGGGGGCTTCTGTGTGACATGACCAATGCTTAATTTGTCAGTGCAGGGGAAGGGTTTCCAGTGGCTGCCAGTGCAATGGTTAAATTGACAGGACAACTGCATTGAGATGAAAAGGCCTGGATGGCTTTAGTGGTCCTTTAGGAACTGTCTGTCAGAATACTTAATACTGTCTTAGGAGGTCACTCTTAAATTACCAAACCGTTGGTAATACAGCAGAATCTGAATACTCTGCTATTCTTAAGTAAACTTCCTAGTTCGCTGTTCTACGTACCACGATTAGTAAGCAACTATAATAAAGCAACTAAATAAGAAATGATCAGATGTATGTGTTTTGGCATTTGATTTTCTGTAACACATACATTTGATCACTTCTTATTTAGTTACTTTATTATAGTTGCTTACTAATCGTGGTACGTAGAACAGCAAACTAGGAAGTTTACTTTAGAATAGCAGAGTATTCAGATTCTGCTGTATTACCAACGGTTTGGTAATTTAAGAGGCTCTCCAGCAGGGCAACACAGCCTTTGTTAATGGGTTGTGCAGATAAAGCATTACAAAAAATATGCAAAACCATTCATTAAAGATAGTAATAAATTACTCATCAAAGCACTCACAAGTAAGCAGCAATTTATCTGTATTATCAAACAAATTATGAAACAAACTTGAAAAAATAACAAACATTCTAAATGGACAAACAAATATAATGAAAGAACTCTACCACAGAATAAATATAACCAAATTAGTACATTATGTAGCTGGCCCTGCTAAGTTTTCCTTAAGAAGTAGTATAGGTAGCACAATACCCAAATCATACTTCTGAGTCACTTTGTAACTTAGTGACTGCAGCAGTTTAAAAAAAGCACCTTTAAAAAAACAAAGTATTCTTGCTAATTACATTCCCAGCTACTGTTGGATTCTTTCATTTATGAGATGGCCTTCCCATGTTGCCAGCAAGTCTAGGTGCTGGGCAAGCATTTTTCTTCCTTTTAGTACTTTAGTCCAGGAGATCGTGGCATCAACACTTTCTTTACACGTGTGCGATCACCAGTGCCGAGACCTTCTTATTCACAGCAGGCATAGTTAGGTCTCACTGTCAAAGTCCAAGTGAGTTTGGGTGCACGTGAGAGCTGTGATTTGTGCATTGCCCTGCCTTCCCCGTAACCACAGAACGTGGATTAAAAACTATCACCTCTGCCATGCCGCAATCCTAATGGGCTTCCTTGTTAAGGCAGATATTTCAAATATGTGAAAGTGCATCTACGTTTCACATACACTGTAAATACAAAATACTCAAGGCAATGGAGTCACACACACACACACACACCTGCAAGTTGTTGTGTTTTTTTTTTTAAGTTTTCACACCCCCTCCTAACACACTGTGGCGGACCGTCTGGCTGGGTGCCTCCGCCAATCGCTGCTTCCTAGTGCATACCGAGTACCACAAGCACCGCACCAGACACCATTAGCACTGTAGTCCCCACTTCCAGCATTACAGCTTGACTGGGGTCTTGCTGTCCTCCACCCACCCTGGACCCAAGACCAAGATCCAGCTTCCAGTGGGTAGACCTCTCCTCCATGAGAGTGTAGCAATATGCTCTTAAAAGAGCAAGTGATTATAACCCAGGGGAGTATAGTGATATAGCAATCCCCAGAGTAGATGAGACTCTATGTTGAGGGTATGCAGGAACTCATTTATTGGCAGCCACAACCTGCCTTATATGCAGGTCCCCATGCAAGGGGCACTCCCTCCTGGTCCTGAGAGTAGACTACAGTAAAAACATACACACGATTACATTGGCTCTCAGGTCCAGGATACTCCCATACAAAATAGGTTAATCCCTCCTCTGTGCTTAAGAGAGAATTGAGTCAAGCACTGTATTAAACTCAATTATCTCCAGGCACAGAAAACATACATTTTTACAAAACCCCCACAAAAGTTACATCCCCTGATACCCCTGATTTGGGTGATTTTTGAAAATGTTGGTCACTGAGATCGGTTCAGGAATTTCCAGGAAGTCATAATTTGACCGATTGCACGCATGGTCCCATGCCCAAAACAAAACAGTTCAAGAGAATTACCAGATTTTACTAATTACATGACGTAAAGTCATGATTTTATAAAGGACACGGAGGCGAGTATTAGGCTTTATCTCTTTCTTTATTCCTCAGCAGCAAAGAAAGGATATTGATATTTTTTAATATAGCAATAACAAAAAGAAAAAACAAATACCCTTAAGGGTTAACCATATAACATTCCATATCCATTAACCAATAGGATCAGTCCTTGTACTATATCCCTTCATGTGAGGTAAACTACTTCCTCTTTCTGGCTGACGCCGAAGCTGAACACATCAACAAGGGAACATTTTTTCTCAAACTTGGGTAATCTTTCGTAGGGGTTCCGGCGAATGTTCCAAATAATGTCGAGATAGTGGACGATCCCGGTTATGTCATCACAGGGTTAAGCTGTAGGAGACAGAGAGATGTATGGTAAAATATATTCGAATATCGTTGTCATGCATATACATTGTACCGGTCCTTAGACAAACGTTTATATCTGAAAACATTGCTTGCGACATTCTAGCATAAATCAGTCTAAATTGCAGTTATTACCCTATAACTTAGCTTCTAAACATCCAAAATGCTATAACTTGTTTATGAGCGAGTGGGTGGGAAAATTGCATGTACGGCTTACCTTTCAGTGGGCGGGCTAATACTCGCCTCCGTGTCCTTTATAAAATCATAACTTTACGTCATGTAATTAGTAAAATCTGGTAATTTTATTAAAGGACACGGAGGCTCTTATTAGGCTAGTTTAAAGCTGTGATATGACCCTAGATGAGATATGTTCTGTTGGTCTAAAGTAGTATTCCTTGAACGTCGATTCTCGGGATCAGTCAGCTGTGCGGAGGAGGTCTTCCAGTTTACATCCAATGGAGAATGCTTTAGAGGCCATAGCGCCTCTGGTAGAGTGTGCTCCGTAAGCGGCTGTGTCGATGTTAGCATTTGACATTATCCATTTCACCCAACGTGTCAGAGTTCCCGTGGATACCGGTTGATGAGGTTTCCTCATTGCCAAGAATAAATTATGTGTGTTTGGGTTCCGGAATGGCTGGGTCCGTAATTCATATTCCTGCAGGCATGCTACCGGGCAGAGGTTAGCGTTGTGAGGAAAGGAGGGATAGAAGACTGAAGTGGTGTTTGACTTTGTACGTCTGGTGATATTAAACAGGACACCATCCGGTGTGAATGATCGTGCATCGATATCCAAGGCCCTCACGTCTGATACCCGTTTGCAGGAAATTAAGCATAGAAGCATCGCTAATTTTGCAGACACTTGCTTGAGTGTTAGGTTCGAGTTTGGGGGCCAATCTTGCAACAAACGAAGGACCATATTCACATCCCATAGGGCCGTGTAACGAGGTTGTGGCGGACGTGCAAATTTTATGCCCCGTAGGAGACGACAGATCCATAAGTGCTTCCCAGCCGGGAAGCCTTCCCAACCAGTGTGCCCAGCTGAAATCGCTGACCTGTAGACATTTATGGTGCGATAAGCCAAGCCTTGATCGTAAAGGGTAGTAAGGAAACCCAAAACCTGGTTTATAGGAGCACGTATGGGATCCACGTGCCGTTCCACGCACCAACTACGCCATGTGTTCCAGGCATGGGCATAGGAACAAATGCAAAAGAATAATAAGCGCTCTCTTCTCAGGGGTGAGCAGCAGTTCACCAACAAGGTGTTCCTCTACCTTGTGATAAATAGACAGATAAAATAGAAAGGTGAACAGCGCTAAAAATCAGAAAATGTACATACGTTTTGTAGAAATACTGGCCAGCAGAGTAACTTAAAAAAAAGAGAAACAAAAATACAAATAATGGTACAGTATGTATGAACGATATAATTCCACAAGAACAAAGGTGTTATATTCACACTCACACTTTGAGGAGCTATATCAGCTCGGTGTTAAGAGCCTGGCGGAATAATCCCCGTCTATGGATTTCTTGAGGTTCAAGACCGTTGGTGAATTTATAGGTGTAAATATTCGTTACATGAAAAACAAGAGTAAAATACACCACATGGTATAGTACGTAAATATAAAACGATTAAATATAAAAGTATGCTGCTGAGAAAAAAAGTGGTATGATCCTACTTTTGCGGAGCACCACTGCTCTAGTTTGACAAAAGGAATGACTGCAGGTGTTTAAAAAATATATATACTTTAATACAATAAGTAAAAAGTGAATAATAAACTATAAAACCAGTCCTGTTTAAAAGTCCAAAATTCTTCCTCACTTGACGCGTTTCGCCGAATATATGCTTGCTGCTTGGGGTCCTTGAGATTTTACCTTCTCTGATGAGATAATCGATTCTCATCATCAGAGAAGGTATATAATCTCAAGGACCCCAAGCAGCAAGCATTCACTTTTGAGAAAGCTTCGGTGAAACGCGTCAAGTGAGGAAGAATTTTGGACTTTTAAACAGGACTGGTTTTATAGTTTATTATTCACTTTTTACTTATTGTATTAAAGTATATATATTTTTTAAACTATCCAGTCATTCCTTTTGTCCTCCTTCCTATCCAATACTGCTTTGCTGCTATACCTGGGTCCACTATATCCCAAGGTGGGATTATTCCACCTGAAATTCTTCAAACTAGAGCAGGTCGTTGCTCTAGTATATGTAAGTAGGATCATCCACTTTTTTTTTCACAATATTTTATATTTACGTACTATACCATGTGGTGTATTTTACTCTTGTTTTTCATGTAACGAATATTTACACCTATAAATTCACCAACGGTCTTGAACCTCAAGAAATCCATAGACGGGGATTATTCCGTCCAGGCTCTTAACACCGAGCTGATATAGCTCCTCAAAGTGTGAGTGTGAATATAACACCTTTGTTCTTGTGGAATTATATCGTTCATACATACTGTACCATTATTTGTATTTTTGTTTCTCTTTTTTTTTAAGTTACTCTGCTGGCCAGTATTTCTACAAAACGTATGTACATTTTCTGATTTTTAGCGCTGTTCACCTTTCTATTTTATATGGGCATAGGAACGTCTTGTCCCTGGGGCCCAAGCTCCTGCCAATAAGTCCAAAGTTGCTTGTGAAACATTCGGCATGGTCCAGGGTCCCCGGAGAGGAGCCATGTGAGGAGTCTGAGATGACCTTGCACCAGAAGTGGATGAGAGTTCCCATCGGGGTCTGATAATAATTCCGTGCTCCCTGGAATCAATCTGGGGAGGTCGATTGACATTTCCATGAGCGAAGGGAACCATGGCTGTGCCGTCCAGAACGGTGTTATCAAAACCAACGATGCTCGGGAGCGCTGTAAGTGTAGGAGAGTTTGCGCTATGAGTGAGAAAGGGGGGAAGGCGTATAGCCTGGTGTTCGGCCAATTCTGTAGGAAGGCATCCACTGCCGTGGCGTCTGGGTCCGGTCTCCAGCTGAAGAATGAGGGGAGTTGAGCATTCAGTCGGGAGGCAAAAAGGTCGATGTGCATCGGACCCCAGAGTTGGTGGAGCTTCTGGAATACTGTGCGATTCAATTGCCATGCACTGTTGTCTCGTAAATGCCTGGAGTGCCAATCCGCTACGGTGTTGGAGAGGCCTTGGAGGTATTCCGCCTGTACGGATATGTTGCGACTCAGGCAGAAATGCCAGAATTCTTTCGCCAAGTTTGTGAGGGTTGAGGACCTCGTGCCACCCAAGTGGTTGATGTAGCGGACGGCTGAGACATTGTCCATGCGCAGGAGTATGGAACAATTGGTCGTGTGTCCGAGGAGGCTCCGTAGGGCGAATGACCCAGCCAGGAGTTCCAAACCATTGATGTGGAGTTCTTTTTCTTCGGAAGACCATTTTCCACCTGTAGAGGTAGGACCACAGCGGGCCCCCCATCCCAGTCTGCTCGCGTCGGATTCTATGACTAGATCCGGAGTGGCGCCGAAGATTGCCTTGCCGTTCCATGCTTCCATGTGTTGAAGCCACCATGCCAGTTCCTCTTTTGCCGCGCAGTCTAGAGGTACAGAATCTGAATAGGAGTGACCCAAGCGTAGGTGAGTTGCCTTGAGTTGTTGTAGGGATCTGTAGTGGAGAGGGCCTGGGAAGATCGCTTGTATAGAGGCCGAGAGCAGGCCAATTATCCTGGCTAGCTGTCGGAGGGTTAAGACTGGTCGAGTCAACGTCCTCCGGATTTCCTTCTTGATAAGTTTTACTTTCGCGGTAGGAAGACTGAGCGTTCCGTGTACTGCGTCTATATCGAAGCCCAAAAACTCTATCGAGTGTGAAGGTTGTAGGATCGATTTGTCCCAATTGATTAGGAAACCTAGGTTTTGCAAAAGGGTCACTGTTCAGAATAGGTGTTGATTCAGGAGCTGTGTGTCTTGAGCCATGATCAGCATGTCGTCGAGGTATATGATCAGACGTACACCTCTGCTGCGAAGGAGGGCAACTACCGGTTTCAGCAGCTTGGTGAAGCACCACGGGGCTGAAGACAGGCCGAAAGGGAGGCAGCGGAAACGCCACATCGTCTGTTCCCATTGGAATTGCAGGAATTGTTGACAGTCCTCGGCCATCGGTATTGTGAGGTATGCATCCTGGAGGTCCAACTTTACCATCCAGTCTCCCAGTCTTAGTAGGTCTCGGAGGCAGTGTATTCCTTCCATCTTGAAGTGATGGTAGGTGACAAAGGCGTTGAGAGGCCGCAAGTTTATTACTGGCCTCGTGCCTCCACCTTTCTTGGGTACTAGGAAGATGTTGCTTAGGAACCCGGGGGCGGTAATGGGAACCCTGTATATCGCACATTTTTCCTCCAGTGTGCGAATCTCTTTTAACACTAGCGGTTTGTCTTGTGGGGAAAAAACAATCCGATGTGGCAATGAGAGTTGAATCGGCTGTTGTGTAAATTCGATGTGATAGCCGAGGATGGTCTCTAGGACCCATGTATCTGAGGTTAGGTTGTGCCACGCATCCTGGAAATGAAACAATCTGCCCCCCACAGGTACAAAGGGAAAGATGCGTAATGTGGAGTGACTCACCATAAGGCCGACGGCCATAGGAGGATCCCCTGGTTCCGCGTGGATGCCATGATCTGCCCCTGGTCGGGAAGAATGGTGATTGTGCCCTCGGTTCGGGTGGGTGGAACCGTGGTGTGGCGGAGCCTCGATAGCCCCGGAACTGAGTCCGGGAGGGGCGGCCGGACAGACGGCCCCGCTGTCTGCCGGCCCCCCCGAAAACCTTTTGCGAGAACACTCGCTTCATATTATGTTGTGCCTTATCTAGTGCCGTAAATGTGTTTACGTAATTACCCAGGGTCTTAACAAAATTGTCTCCGAATAAGAGACCTTTTGCCTGTGTTCCAGGCTCAGAGATTGCCAAATGCACTAGTTTTGGCTCGATTTTCATCAATATGGCTTTACGCCGTTCCGTGGCCAAAGCGGTGTTGGCATTTCCTATTAGGCATATGCCCCTCTGAATCCAGCCTCTGATGGCCATCAAGTCAATTGGGGTCCCCCCAGTAAGGGCCGCTTCGACCATATCGAAGATTTTAGCTATAGGCCCGAGTATGTCCAGGATCTTGTCCTGGCAGTGTTTTAAGGAGTAGTCCAAACCCTTCTTGGCCCTCCAACCTGACTTACCCAGGAATTGGGCGACCTTGGGATCCACTTCAGGGGTCACGCAAGCCATGTCTGGGACAGTGGGCCTTGGGCATTCCGCCCTCAGCTTGCTTCTTGTGGCCTTGTCGAGGGGTTTTCTGACCCTAGTCGCAATATAAACGGCCACATGAGTTGTGGGGTACCACTCCGCTGAACGCGGATTATGCAAAGTGTCGGGATCAAAAAGGGGTTCCCCTTGGGGGTCTAATACAGCGGACTCATCCGTCTCGCGCTCCGCGTCTAAAGCTGGAGGCGCGGTGTTGCTGCGTTCGGGGGACGAATTGTCTGAATTAATTGGGTCGATGTCATCGGACCCATCTGATACCTCCTCTGAGTCCGAGTCGAGTCGGACGGATCAGATAGGGCTTTTGCCCTCTTCCAAGTCCGCACCGTTTTTGCCCGGCGGGGGGCTCTTTTACGTGGGAGCACCACGTCATCAATCTCAACAGGGCGCAACCTGTCCGTCTTACTGGTTCTGGAGGTAGCACCTGACAGATGGTGCGATTTGCACGTAGCCTTGCGGCCACTAGGGACCATAGGCTTGCTATCAGTGGATATAGGGGGTGCCGAGCCCGGGGTGTGACCGGATGCTCTAATAGCAGAGGAAATAGAGTGGGACAGGGTGTCCGACATCGCCCCCATGGCGGTAAAAATGGCCTGTGTAACAGACCTACTCATCGTGGCATCCAGGAGCGCCTGGAACTCCTCTGAGTTCACGTGCTCCTGGGATGCGTCCCCAACTCCCCCAGTGACAGCAGCGTCTGTAGACAAGGCTGTCTTATCACGCTTGCTGAGTTTATTAGAGGTGGGAGGGGGTGCAACTGTCTGTTTCTCAGCAGGGGACTGCATAGTGATCAGGAATGTGCACAGTAACAGTAGAGGGAGGAAGGCACTGAAAATAAACTGTCACTATTGGACAAAAATGCACACTTTCAGCACTGCAGAGGTTAATAAACCAGCATATAGGGCAAGTGGCTGAGCACTTGAGTGAAATTAAAGGCAGGCACAGTTATAAAGAGGCACAAGTATTTTTGGCACATATAATATGGCAGCTTACCGAGTGTTCCCTCAGGAATGACTCCTGGGGGATACTGGTAAGCTGCCCAACACTTCCCTCACCCAATCAGCTCGCGCCCCTCCCTGTCAGAGTGGCGCGGACCGCGGGCGAAAAGAGCGGCAAAATTGCCCTCAGTTAAGATGGCCGCCGCGATGCGCGAGTGCGGACCGCGCATGCGCGAGCGGCAGAAACGGCCGCCAAAGAAACAGCCGCCCGTCCGGCGGCGAAATGGCTCGTTCCGGGCCGGGGGGGGTGGGGAGGGGATGCTTGAGTGACCCCCACCCGGGGAAGTGGAATGAGGGACGGGTTATAAACAACCCGGAAACGGCAGTGCAGGATGGGGCTTGCCTCAGGGAGGAGGCAAGCACCCTGCACTGGGAAAACGGAGTAAAACAAAACAGCAGTCAAATATACATAAAAATTGAATAATAGACAATGAAAAACTGATATTTAAAATGAACAATAGAAAAACAATAATAATATGAATCAGGAGAAACTGAACAACACAATATTTGAGGAGCTAAAATATGTGGTACTTAGCTGAGGCAGCAGCAAAGAAAGAGGAAGTAGTTTACCTCACATGAAGGGATATAGTACAAGGACTGATCCTATTGGTTAATGGATATGGAATGTTATATGGTTAACCCTTAAGGGTATTTGTTTTTCTTTTTGTTATTGCTATATTAAAAAATATCAATATCCTTTCTTTGCTGCTGAGGAATAAAGAAAGAGATAAAGCCTAATAAGAGCCTCCGTGTCCTTTAATAAAATCAGGGCTTGCGGTTGGTATAGTTCGGTAGTTTTTAAAAACCGTACATCAATGTTCTTACCCTGGAGCTTGTTCACCTTGTTTGTGGGAATGTTTCCACCGAACAGTGCCCTTCTAAGTTGTATAGAACCAAACACAGGTGATCCTGGAAGTCAAGCGGTATTCGGGAGTTTGTGTCCGAAAACAGTTTCATGACCTCGACGACCAAACACCACGGCCTGCATTCGCGGGAACAAGATGGCCGCAGCTTTGTGGTCGTTCATGAGAACAGCGGCCACCCAGACGAACGCTTCGGTGGAAAGTGTTAAACTGTCAATTAGGGGTGGTCTCTGGTTCGTGCGCCTGTTTGGTTTTCCCAACCAAATATAAAATCCCACGAACCAAGTCTGTTCACGTAATTTTTAAAGGGCCCATAGTCTTTTGGCAGGAGTCTGGCAAGCAGGCCCCTCCGAGAACACGTGTCAGAGGCACTTCTGCCACACAGACAATACAGCTTTTAAATATTGATAGGTAAATGAAAATTGTGTCTATGCATAAGCCCATATGACTTGTAAGAGTGTAAAAAAACAGTAATTGGACTGCTTACAGCTGCACATTTCTGTAATTTTAAAGTGGGTTATTTGCCTCACACCCTTCAGTGCCATTTTGTCTTTAAAACACACTATGCCAAGTACGTATTACAAGCTCTTAGAAAGTATAAATAAATCCCATTTGCAACTTTAACATAAAAAAAAAAATAAAAAAATAAAAAAAAAAAATAAAAAACCCTACAGGGAGTGAAAACTGTTGGTGATTTTAAAAAGTAGAAAATGTGAAAACCTCCACAGCAGCCATTTATTCTGCCATCTAAAATGTGCAATCATGTTTAAAAATGAGAATCTAAATCCTAACTGCTACAGAGGTAATAGTATAGGCAAAAGTGTAGTCTTCAGTTGAGTTATAGATTGGACACACCCACATGATTTTGCTAAAAGTAATAGGAAATTTACGACACTTAACATCTCCAAATGTCAAATGTAAAAATGGATTACAGTCAATTGTGAATTATTTAGGTTGACACATTCTGCTTGCATTTAAAAGTGTGTGTGTGTGTATATATATATATAATGTGTGTGTATACATACACCCACACACACCACAAACTTTTAGTCTAAATAACCCCACAAAATAACCCCACAAAAGCAGATATCATGAGCAGTTTAAACCAAAAGGGATATAAGGATAAGAAAGCAAAAAACAGGGCTGTGATAATTACAATTTGTAGTACACTTATATCATTTGATGCCTCTGACTAAATGTGCTGAACTATTTACCTTGTTAAATAAGCACTAATGGACTACTATCTAAAGAAAGTAATGTGACTGACAGAAAAATCATTATATATGATATATTTGTTTCCCGTCACATGCGTTATTGGTTTATATGGTTCAGAATCCCTTTAAAGAAATTTTATCTTGCATAATCCGCAAAAGAACTACTACTCATGGTCCTCTTGATGGGGAATAATCAGGTACTTGTCAAATGAACTTATATATTCAAAATGTATGGTAAAGATGGCTATGGATGGGTAATTCTGCTTCAAGTCTTTTCACTTTGCCTCTTCCATTTTTTTCCCCTCTGTTAGCCCTCATTTTTTGTGGTTTACAACATGGTCACTACAGAAGTCATTGCAGTTTTTGAGAACACATCGAATGAGCTGCTAGAATTATTTGAAAACTTCTGTGACTTATTTCGAAATGCTACTCTTCACAGTGAGGCTGTGCAGTTTCCCTGCTCTGCTTCCAGCAACAACTTTGCTAGGCAGATACAACGCCGGTAAGAATTTGCCTCCATTGATCAAAATGCGTTCTATTAAAATTTATTTGCTGTAGTTTTAAACAAAGTAGAAAGTAATAGTAGATGTTAAAGGGGGAGGGAGGGGAGGTTGGTACAGCCAAATAAATTCCTGCTCCTACATTATCTAGAGAAAATGTTTAATTTGCACTTCAGCATTGCCTATACAATTATACCCACGTTTGAAAGGCGATAGGCTATGAACTCAGTTAAAGTCACCATAACAAAAGCTTAATGTAGTTGTTCTGGTGTGATGTAGCACGGGTGACTTTAGTTGTCTTTCAAACTGAAAAGCTGAATACACATTTTATATTAACCTTGTTTTATTTATTTTTTTATTATTTGTACATGTAGTTGAATATTTTCTTTATACTTTAAAGTAACGCTATAGTGACAGGAATATAAACAAGTATTCCTGTCACTATAGTGTTAAAAACACTTGGAAAAGGTAAAAAGCTTGCCCTTATTCCAGCACCGGGCGGATATGCCGCGGCTGGTTCTGCCTCCTTGGTCAGGAGGCTAATGTGCATGTGCGGCAAAACGCTGTGCCAATCAGCATCTCCTTGTAGAGATGCATTAAATCAATGCATCTCTGAGACTTGTTCAGTGCTTCTATGCAGGGGGTGGAGACTGTGAATGTCAGTTCTGCACATTGTGCAGCACTGATCCAGAAAGCACCTCTAGTGTCTTTCTAACTGCCACTAGAGGTGTTACTAGACAGTAATGTACACACTGCCTTTTCATTAAAAAGTCTGCAGGGATAGGCAGTAGACACCACAAGAACTACATTAAGCTGTAGTTGTTCTGGTGACTACAGTGTCCCTTTAATTTTAATTCCACTGTCATTTTGGTACATTATATTCAGTACTAGTTTATATATTAATAATATGAAAACACAAGAGGCTGATCGTATTGATAGTTCAGTATTTGACGTGGTATTTTTAACAGTTTATTAACACAAAATTAGGGTAGCATTCTATTTGTGAAATATTTTATTGCCTTATATTTTAACAAAAATCACTAGATAATATGAAAATATTTTAAAGAACACTGCAAGCGCCATTCCCTTCCTCCTCTCCACATCAAAGCTGTCAGCTGGAAATGCATGACTTAGCTCATTCCCTGAAGGGCTGGAAATGCATGACTTAGCTCATTCCCTGAAGGGTTTAGCTTAGGAGAGCTAACAAAAGCTCCTACCACGAGCTTCCAGTTTTCCCTTGTTGCTGAGAGGAGGCATGGAGATGCAAGTCGCAGACCACAAGTAATGAGCCAAACTGCTATAGTGGCTGTGGTGATTGGAGTGTTTCTTTAGCCGCAAAAGGTACATTTAGCTTTCACCACAGGACGCAATGTGGTTTCATATTATTGGCTTAACTAATAAATTACGTTTATCAAATGCCTCCTTCTGATTAATCTTCCAGAGGCAAGGCAAGTGAAATACACCATACTGTAATCACTTTTTATTATCATGATTTCTGTAATATAATTTAGCATTCTAACTTCTCCCTATAGCTTTTTTTAACCTATGATTCATGCTTTAGGTTTAAAGACACTATTGTGAATGCAAAGTATGGTGGCCATACAGAAGCAGTGAGGCGGCTGCTCAGCCAGCTTCCCATTAGTGCCCAGTCTTATAGCGGAAGCCCTTACCTTGACCTCTCTCTCTTCAGCTACGATGACAAGTGGGTCTCTGTAATGGAGAGGCCAAAAACATGTGGAGATCATCCAATCAGGTATGAATTCGAAAACATAATGTACTGGAAATTCGAGAAATAATTTTATCAAGAAGAAAAAAGTAAATATTGGCCTTAATAGTAACATATTTTAGTAGCATATCACTATTCACCCAAAATGAGAATATCAGTTATTTAATGTTGGATAATAAGAGTATAAAATTGGTTAATTTCTTGTTATTTTTAAAAGGCTGGTTTACTTAGGATACAGGGGAATTTTACAGTGAGGCATATGGTGTCTCTGGGACTCTGGCCACATGGCTATTAAATGGGTATGTTTTAATCTGGCCAAGGGGCTTTGGGATCATCTATATCAGGGGTTCCAAATGAATTATTCCTGTGGAACCCCCAAAAAATGTTGGTACCATAGCGCAGATACTAAACAGATAGTAGTACTTAGGAGCAGGTGTGCTTTTGTGTGTTTGTATATAATGTTAGCGTTTTAATACAGGGGTGTGTTTGTATATAATGTTTGTATTTGCGTGCAGGGGTGTGCTTGTATGTAGTGTTAGCTTTTAAATGCGGATGTACAATTGTGTGTAGTGTTAGTGTTTGAATAAAGGGTGTGTTTGAGTGTTTGTATTATGAATTTGAATCCAAGGTTTTTTTGTTTGTATGTAATGTTGGTTTTTGGAGGAGTGTGTTTGCATGTTGTGTTCGATTGCTGGGATGTATGCACATATGATTGCTTTACCTATGCCATGTACCTACGTACACAAACAAATTAACTCACAGACACACATATAAAAACATTGACACAGGCACACATTAATTTACACAAAGATACACACCTTGACACACAGATACACACAGTGACACATACACACAAATATATACACACACACACACACACATACAAACACATATACACTATCACTGACAAGCACACACACACTCTCAGCGACCAAACTCCTTAACAGACACACATATACACACAATTTTATTTTTAAAATTTCAGTCCACCCAGCCTCCCTAACTTTGGGAGTGCTGGCATGGTGTCTCTATTTCCCTGGGGTCCAGTGGGACTTCTGGGCTGAGCAGCTGGCTTGCAGGCATACAGTACGGGAGGCGAGGGATCTTTCTGCTCCACTCCCTCGCACGCCGCTTAGTGATGCGGGGGGCCGGAGTGACGTCCTGCTCCGGCATCACTGTGGTGCGTGTATGGGAGCTGAGCAGGGGAGAGTGCTCTCTCGCCGCCTGTCTCAATTATCAGCGGTAGCCATTTTGTTTCCTGAAATTGCGGTGGAACCCCATTTGTGTTTTTGCGGAACACCAATTGGGAAACACTGATCTATATGGGAGTGATATCAATCTTCATCTTAAGATCGTTGAACAGGTTATTATAATAGAGGGGGGATTAGTGACTGATTTTCTCTTCTCCCTAGGCATATGGTGGTAGACTTCCGCATAGGTGAAAACGTTGAGCAAAATGCTGTTAGTTTGCATTAAACGTCTTGAATCTGACCTCTAGTTTTCTAAATTATTCTGTTTGATTCATGATACTCCATGTTGTTTCTTTATTCTCAATGGATACAGAAGCACCATATCCCTTCTCTGTGGTCTTTAAAAGTTCATGTTAACATGAATATGTAAACTATTATTTGGAATTGGCCAGTTTCTATGATGGGGAGTACTGAGGTATGAAGAAGCACAGGTTTTTCTACGTAATAAATTATTAAAATGGGGTAATGCTTTCAATTTTCCTTTTTAATTCTACCCAGATATTGTTTAATCATCTTGGAAAATAACCCTGACTATAGCACGTCCATTTTTAAGCTTTCACCAATATGGATTAAACAGGTTTGTGTGTTTTTTGTGGCTTTTCCATTCATGTGTGCTTTTTAGCTATTAATGCATTGATTTCGAAGATGAGGATTTGAATGACAAATTTTATGGCATCCAAAGCAAAAACAGAATTACAGCTGAGCGGAAAATCCAGGTAACTGCCAGCAAGGGTTTTCAACAAAGCTGATATAAAATGCCTCCAAGAATGTTCTTGTTAAATATCGCACTTCCATACATAAACTACATGGTGCACAGTAATTCCTTCTCATCATGCCATTTATTTAGTTGCTTGATTGTTGTACTGCTTCTATAGACAAACCGAGTGAAAGGAACCAAGATAGCCTGACAATCCTGCTAGTTATGGACACCTGTATGTTAATTTGAAGTAATCTCATGCTTCTGACCACATTTAATGTTCGTAAATGAGCATAACTGCTTTGAAATAATCTTTGATTACTAGCTGTTTAAATTATATTTCTAGTCGCAGGCACCATTGTCAGAAATGACAGGGAGTTTGCCTTGTATGCAGCAAATTACTTCACATCAGAGATTTACAAACATAATTTTGGTCATGTTTTGAAAAGAAAAAGCGTTCTTCAAAACAGAAAATACATGCAATTGCTTTTCTAAATTACCCATAAAACATTGTTTTGATCCCTAATGTGTAGAGCAAGGAATTTGAAGAATTTTAGTACTGCTATATTTTGCATTGGGGGATATATCTATATATCTATGTATCTGTATCTCACTCTCAATAGATACTTTTATACAGATTTCACTCCTGACACGTAAAGAAATTTAGCCTATTGAGACACATAAAGTACTACAGCTCATTGAGAAGCATTTGAAAACCATGTTTGCATGCGCGACTACACCACAGCGGGCTGTCGCTGTATTCTCTTGCACAGACTTTCAATCTGTGCTATGGAAAAAGGGGTTGTAAAGACTGCAGACAAAGTCTCTAGCTTTTGCAGGCTGTTTTTTCATATCCCCTCAAGGAAAACATGTGGGGACAATGACATACATGTGTGTATTGGGGTATAGCTACTAAATAGTTACATATTAATGGATTGTTCCTTGAATGGTTCTGTTTTTTATCTTTTATATTATGTGGTGTTGGTATTATTGTATTTTCATTTTGTTTTGATAATTGGTTCCACTGGAGTGTGAACAATTGTATGTTACTATCATTACAACTATTTTGGCGTGAAACACATACATACTTTTGTTGGGGTCACGTACTAATGAACATACCCAGGCACATGTGCATAAAATGACCAAAGTGACCAAAAGTGGAAAATGCTAGCATGCACAAATACTATATACATATGTGGAAATAAACCTTAACAATCCAAATGTTCAAACAAAAGAAACTAGTGTATAAAAAGAAAGCAGCACTAAATCACAAAGTGATATATAGTGTGACAAAATCGGACCAAACTAACAGTGGTGCTCTAGAAATTAAACTTAATAGATGGTTTTATCAAAACCAAGTCTATGAACAATAATACAAACACATAATAGTGGAGCCCAACCAATCTTAAACATATGAATATAGTGAAATTATGTCAACAGTGACGCGTTTCACCCCCCACACCCTTTGGCTTCTTTGAAGTCATCTCCCATTTCAGTTCTTGTATGCATTGCATCGACCCTTCCTCTCCTATTGATTGGGGGCGCTGTTACCATCAAGAGAACCAAAGATTCAGTCTTTGCTAAATTTATTTATTACAGATCTTTCTATCACAAGTATTTACAATGTACAGTCAAAGAAATGTATTCACATATTAAAGCACATAAAAAGGAATAACGACAAGAGGGATTAATCTTATTAAAATTAATTTTCTATTACTTCTTGTCAAAGGGGTTATGTCTCATAAAATCCTTTTTACATATTTATTATAGAATATATTGGTTGGTACAGCACCCTCCTCTGTAGTTTTGTGGCACTGTGTTCTGCACTGGGATATTTGCAGTGAAATACAGCCAACACAACTGTTTATTTTTTAATATTTATATCTTGATAAAGCCCTATTTATTTCATGCAAACTTTAATACACTGAATATGATTTCACAAAATCCAGTGAGTGAGTGCTCTCCTCTTTTTGTTCTTTATAACACCGTGGTCTGAGTAACACCGTGGTCTGAGTAACACCGTGGTCTGTGTAACACCGTGGTCTGAGGTAATATATTTATTTATACTTTTGGGCAGAGTGCCAGATCTCTCTCCCCTCTCATTCTATGTTAAATTTTGCCTGGCTGCAAAACCTGCATTGTAATATAGCTATTAAAATACAGTGCACATGTTGGTCTTCATAAAATGTTTGAGAGATCACAAACGGCCAGAAAGTGTCGAAACGTCGTTCTTGTGTGTGTGTATATGTATATAATATATATATATATATATATATATATATATATATATATATATATATATATATATATATATATATATATATATATATATATATATATATATCTCTATCTGTCACTAATTCGAATAAACACTTTATGAAGACCAAAAAGTACACCTCCTTCTATTACAGATGTGTGTGTGTGTGTTTTTTTTTTTTTATAAATAGGCTGCATTATTGAATTTCTACCTATTCTTGCCGAGATATTCAGATTTGTTGCTTGGCAACATGTAACGAAAATCTTTGCAAACACATACTCTGCAGATCTTCATTTTAGTTAAGGGAAGTATGCACATTTACAAAATGCTGGTGTGATGATACCCCGCTTATGCTGTAGTTTGCATTGTAATGAATATGCAGTTTAAACATATAATTAAACTCTTACCAAACTTCTCCAGATACTGGTTGGGTATAGTACTTGAAACACACAAAATGATAACCAATGACACTTGTTGCGATGGGGCATGACATTCCATCATGTTTGGTCACTGTCCACCTAATTTGGAGCATGTTGTAAAAATTAATACATTTTAATGCAAAAAAAAGTAACTGTATTTTGCATGAAAATTGGTATTTACAATTAGTCAACACTATCTACGTCACAGAATATGAGTATAAAAAGTTTAACTGGAAGAAAAAAAACAAAAAACCATTGACCCTTACAAAAAAGATAATGAGAAATAATACATAGATTCTAATCCAGAAACCGTATGAGAGTCGCTGTATTTCCTGGTTATAGCTGTAGTCCTAAGCGGTGTTAAAGGACCACTCTAGGCACCCAGACCACTTCAGCTTAATGAAGTGGTCTGGGTGCCAGGTCCAGCTAGGGTTAACCCATTTTTTTTTTTTTTTTTATAAACATAGCAGTTTCAAAGAAACTGCTATGTTTATGAATGGGTTAAGCCTTCCCCCATTCCCTCTAGCGGCTGTCTCATTGAGAGCCGCTAGAGGCGCTTGCGTGCTTCTCACTGTTGATAATGCTTTCCTATGCGACCGGCTGAATGCGCGCGCAGCTAGCCGACTGGGAGGAGAGAAGGAGGATCGGAGGAGGAGAGCTCCCCGCCCAGCGTTGGAAAAAGGTACGTTTTTACCCCTTTCCCCCTTCCAGAGCTGGGAGGGGGTCCCTGAGGGTGGGGCACCCTCAGGGCACTATAGTGCCAGGAAAACGAGTATGTTTTCCTGGCACTATAGTGGTCCTTTAATGCAAAACTATAGGATAAGAGCAGAAATCTTGGTTAAATAAGATAAATGTAACCACTTACAAGTGAGCTTCTATGCCTGCAAATATGTATCAACTCAGCGAGAAAGGACTATGTCCAGATGGAGGAAATCCTTAAACAAAATGTGCTTTATTACGTTGGCTAAAAAGGTAAAGCCTCTACTGAATCCCCAATAAACTAAAGTTAACTACATAAAAAACACACCAGGTCATCCCAGAGATAAAAAGGTAAGTGCTATGTCATCTGCCCTAGCTGAATAAACAGGAAATTAATTCCTAGGTATAGACATAATAGCCAGATAATACCAAATTACTAGAAATAGATAGGTATAATTGAAGGTATTAGTCAAATCCTTCAATGTGAAATAACAATAGTATATGTTTTAGTATCCCTGAAACAGACCTGGGATATAGATGGGTATTAGCCAGATATAGGGTATATAGGAGGATAGTAGTAGAAGGTATTATGCCTGTCAAAAATTGAACTGGCAATAGTTAACTAGCACAGCCTATCTCCCTGTCAAACTAGCTATATAGGCATAGAATGCATAAATGATAGAAAAAGGTTACATGAAATTATTCAAACGTGCTTAAAAATAAACAGTGCAGTGCCCATAAGAAAAAACGCCCGACGTGCGTTTCGGTGCAATACTGAGTGCACCTTCGTCAGGGCAAAGCGGTGTACTGATAAGAGCTCCCATTTTATATTAGATATCCCCAGTGTATCCACATTTGGGTAGCCAATCCCGAGATCAGCTAGCATAGAGCAATCATGTGTGAACAATTACCTCCTAATTATTCTCAATAGATAGAGGACCTCGCACAGATGCTATTGGTCCAGATAGACTGGCCGGGGAGGTCTTCTAGGTATTAAACCTCCTCCCCCCTCCCCCCCATGTGGTGCGTTCATCATTATTAGCCACGTGCACAATGCCAATAGGGGATCAAGGGGTGAAGCGGGTGATCTAAGTACCCGTTCATCCAAGTGAGGTCATCCAGTACGGTAATGTAGCTTGACGTGTGTGTGTGTGCGCGCGCGCGTGCATAGTGGGGGCTAGATGGTTCATCCCTCCCCACATGCGAGCCTTCAATACGGCATCGGGGCGGAGTTAAAGCTTGTCAGAACGAAAATATCTGCCCCTCTTGACAAGCCGCCAGGTTTCAAAGGCCAATATATTACACTACAGTTCTCTAGTGGGAGTTTGAAGTCACACCAAAATCTGTCAAATGTATAATGAGAGGCAAGAAGTAGGCTATATCTGCTTATAATATAAAGAAACCCATAGTAACATTTAGTGTGACGTTAAGAGAGACTTCTAAATGTTGTACTCATCCAACTTGTAAGTGGTTACATTTTCTTGTTGGTGTATCTTATTTAACCAAATCTTATTTAATCTGCTCTTATCCTATATTTTTGCATTAACACCACTTAGGACTACAGCTATATCTAGGAAATACAGTGGCTCTAATATGGTGTCTGGATGAGAGTCCATGTGTTATTTCTCATTATCTTTTTTTGTATAATTTACCATAGGATTAAGCTCTTAAAGACCCCCGGAGTCTCATTTAGGTGCTTTGGGTAACTGGCTCTCACTTTGACACATAGTGTCACGGTGAGGACCATTTAGTTGTCCTATTCTTTGGTTCGTTTTTCACTGATGACTTTAGTTGAATTTGAATACCCTATTTGGTACTGAGAGGAAGTGTCAGCCTGTCTCTTCCTCTCAGTTTAAATAGAAAGCGCCTTGACTTAAATAGAGAACGCTAACTCCACAAGTTGGAGATGAAGCCGTACTGTCTGTCAATCCCCGGGATCGTGATCAAGTTCCCGGCCACCTATGCTGCGGGGAGTGGTGGCTTCTCTGGCTCCAGAACCTCAGGATGATGAGGTTTTGGCTCAGGCAGCCGGGGCACGACCCCCAGAGATATATCGGGTCTGTTTGCCTTTAACAAGATGAAGAGGATATGGCTGGCTGAGGGTGACAAGTACCCCATGGAGGGGTGGGGGAGGTCCTGCTTGTTGTAGGCTTGGGCTGGCTTTACTCTCCCTCTCTGTTCCTGTATGTGAGGGGTGAGCCAGAGATGCTCTAAAACCCCTATCTCTCGATGGAAGGCCTGGGTATCCTTCCCCCACTATAGTGTAATAAGAACCCCACCTACTTACCATAGGGTTACATGGGACCCTTAAATGTGTGGAGCAGAGGAAAATTGTGGGGTAGAGACCTCCCCCCAGCTACTGATCATAGGGTTACATGGGACCCCAAACATTTTAAAAAACTGTGGATTTTTCACATAAGGTAGTCTTACATTCAGGCTTTTTTTTTTATTTTTCTTTTTTTATAAACGAGATCCAAAATTTGGGGGAATCGTCTTATAAGCAAGCAAATATGGATACATGTAAAAGTATCTGTTTTACATTCATTGCTTCAGAACATATGCATTTAATAGCAGTGCCATTCTCATTTTTTTTTCTTCCTTTATTAAGAACATACCATCCAATGTTTTTAATGGACAAAGAGGAACACTTTAATTCAGGTATCTGGGTGGAGTTTTGTCCAGGGGCAGAGGGCTATATGGAAAAATGTTAGGTGACTTACTAATAAAAATAGATATACAAGGTGTTCTGTGCTATAAGGCGTTTAAATAAAGATAGAGATGCTCTTTGATGTAGCAGCTTTCACACAAAAATAGGAACTCTCTAATCCTAGTACAATATGGTGCAAAAGAAAACACGATTTTAACAAACAAGTGTCAAATTAGTGCAAGTGTGTAGCTTTGAAGGTGAATTACTTGCTCCCAAAATGATAGAAACATAGAATGTGACGGCAGAGAAGAACCATTCGGCCCATTTAGTCTGCCCAATTTTCTAAATACTTTCATTAGTCCCTAGCCTTATCTTACAGTTAGGATAGCCTTACGCCTATCCCACGCATGCTTAAACTCCTTTACTGTGTTAACCTCTACCACTTCAGCTGGAAGGCTATTCCATGCATCCACTACCTTCTCAGTAAAGTAATACTTACTGATATTATTTTTAAACCTTTGTCCTTCTAATTTAAGACTGTCCTCTTGTGGTAGTTTTTCTTCTTTTAAATATAGTCTCCACGTTTACTGTGTTGATTCCCTTTATATATTTAAATGTTTCTATCATATCCCCCCTGTCTCGTCTTTCCTCCAAGTTATACATGTTAAGATCCTTTAACCTTTCCTGGTAAGTTTTATCCTGCAATCCATGAACCAGTTTAGTAGCCCTTCTCTGAGCCCTCTCTAAGGTATCAATATCCTTCTGAAGATACGGTCTCCAGTACTGTGTACAATACTCCAAGTGAGGTCTTACCAGTGTTCTGTACAATGTCATGAGCACTTCCCTCTTTCTACTGCTAATACCTCTCCCTATACAACCAAGCATTCTGCTAGCATTTCCTGCTGCTCTATTACATTGTCTGCCTACCTTTAAGTCATCAGAAATAATCACCCCTAAATCCCTTTCCTCATATGTTGAGGTTAGGACTCTATCAAATATTTTGTACTCTGCCCTTGGGTTTTTACGTCCAAGATGCATTATCTTGCACTTATCCACATTAAATGTCAGTTGCCACAATTCTGACCATTTTTCTAGTTTACCTAAATCATTTGTCATTTGGCTTATCCCTCCTGGAACATCAACCCTGTTACATATCTTAGTATCATCAGCAAAAAGACATACCTTACCATCAAGACCTTCTGCAATATCACTAATAAAAATATTAAAGAGAATGGGTCCAAGTACAGATCCCTGAGGTACCCCACTGGTGACAAGTCCAAGCTTCGAATATATTCCATTAACTACAACACTCAGCCACTGCCTTACCCATTCAACAATATTGGAATCCAAACTTAAATATTGCAGTTTATTGATAAGCCTTCTATGTCCAACAGTGTCAAAAGCCTTACTGAAATCTAGGTAAGCAATGTCTACTGCACCACCCTGATCTATAATTTTAGTTACCCAATCAAAAAAATCAATACGATTAGTTTGGCATGATCTCCTGAAGTAAACCCACATTGTCTCTGATCTTGAAATCCATGTGTTTTTAGATGTTCATCAATCCTATCCTTTAACATGGTTTCCATCACTTTCCCCACTACTGAAGTAAGGCTTACTGGCCTGATATAGGAAGTATGCAGATAACTGCAGAAAAAAAGGATATATAGTGTAACACTATAAAACTTAGAGTATGTACTTTAATTGGAAGAACTCACGTGGTCTGGAGCCTATTATGGACTGGCTCTAATCACTTGAGCCGTTGTGTATATTTGATTTTTTTAAAAAGATTTTTGGATAGAATATAATTTTTTAATCAGAACATACCATCTGGTTGACCATTTATCCTGCTACAAGAAGGGCAGAGTCACCCTAGAACAGGACTCATACACTCATATACTTAGAGCCAAGTGAGAAGCAACCTGTATACCATACTTGATTAAGGATTTCTGCACCAGGGCAAGTTTCCCTGTCTCTCTTCCCTCCTTTTTCTGTTTACATGTCTCTGAGGAATATCCTATACGTGGATTCATAGGGTGTTTACTAATAAAAATGCTTGCAATTTAAAATAAATACAATGTATCTCATTTCCACACTAATTTCTAAACATTTATTGTAGTTTAAAGACATATACTGTTAGTATTATTGCTGTGGAGCTCTGTTATACACTCAAACACAATAATATGGAGCTCCTAGAAAAAAAGGGACTTTAGGATACAAATTAGGTACTTCATTTCTAAAAGTAAAGACAATGTGTTGTGCAAATCTGCTTTTGTAAATTAAAAGGAATGTCAGGAGGATACTTTAAATATACATATACGGGGTCATGGCTTGGCCGAAACCGTTGATGGCCGCATAAGCAGAGAGCTCCGACCAGGCATCCAACCTAAAGCACACATAAACCGCACCAGCGCAACTACAAACCATACTTGGTAGCCCACTAACCGCCTGGAACGTGCACCCGTCAGCCTAAAAAAAAAAAAAAAGCAAGGGAGTCTGCTCTCACAACTTTCTGGCCGGCCGGTCAGAAACACGCTGAGACACAAGATGGCGCCTCTAGCGGCACGCGCAAGACGCGTGAAGATAGAGGATGTCGCCTCGGATTCCTCAGCCTCTTGCTCTGAGGACACTGCTCACATACTCGCCCAGATGAAGGCGGACCAGACTTCCTTGCGGGGGAGATGGAGCGCAACTCCAGAGAGATGAGACCGGAGATCCAGGCCCTGGGAACACGCACAGCCTCACTAGAGGCCAGAGTAGAGGCAGTAGTACAGGCCTACAACGAAGTCTTACTAGACCAAGTGGGAACCCAGGCTGCAGGAGCTTGAGGCTGCAATGAAAAACATAAATAATAGATCCAGCCAAATAATATTCGGCTAAGGGGGATTCCGGAAGTGGACCGGGGTGATGGAGAAAGTCCTAGGAATCCTCAGACCCCCTCCTGCCAGACATCCAAAATGGCAGGTGGGAACTAGACAGGGCCCATCGGGCCCTCTGCGCACCACGGAAGGAGGGAAACCAACCCAGGGACTTCATTGTTCGCTTCCTCTATTATGCTACAAAAGAGGCAGTAATCTGCAGAAGCAGAGACATGGAAATACAATACAAGGGACACTCAGTCCAAGTGTACCAGGACCTCTCCCCGGTCACTCCGGTGAAAAGACGGGCGTGGAAGCCGATAACGGAAGCCCTGAAAACACTAGGCGTCGAGTTCAAAATACTTGCATTTCACAGTGGCTGCACACATGTCCTGCACCCGTCTGGTGACCCAGCAAATTCTTGCCATTCCTGGGCATTCCTAAACCGCCAGGGGTGATGGAACTCTTCCAGAGGCCCAGCCCACCGGCACCACTACCACAAGAATGGATGGGTGGGAGCGCTCCCTAAACTCCGGAACCCCAGCGGGAACCCCCGCTGCCTCAGTTGGAGAAAAACCACAGACTCAACTCCCCCATTGCACTCAATATGACCCCTGAAAGGCCCCCTGGAACTTCCTCTACCGATTGCAGGGGCGTTGCTCAAAACTGAAGTCCCCTCCATACAAGAGGTAACTGGGAAAATTAAGGACAACCACGCCATGGATGAGCTCAAAGCTGCCAAAGTGAGGAACTCTGAGTTTGTGAGCCCTGGATGGATTACTTAAATACAACTGACTAAGGGGTTGCGGGCGGCAGCGATGGACACTCCATACTCTCTTCCCCTCTCCCTTCTATTAATTTCGGTACTGTCCTTTGGGCCGCCTGTGGAGTCCACTCCGGGCATAGCCAACTGGAGTCGTGGCTTTCGGCCCACAAAGAAGCATTGATGGGTGCCCCTCGGGGGAGGCCTAGGAGGGGTGATAGCGGAACCGCTGGGGGACGACATAGAACACTCTACGGGGGGACCAGTAGCCCGGCGCTTCTCTTCCAGGGACGCACCCCACAGTGGAGTAACAGACTGCAAACAAGCTCACACACCCCAGGGGACACATCCCTCTTCCTCTTCTTAAACAAACCTAATCTCTTTCCTACCTCTAACTCTCCTTTTCTACTTATGTTCATATGGTTCGTTCTGCATTATCTTATGCAGCGGAAAAGTACTGGATAGCATGTGCTCGAATACAGGCCCGAAGGCAAAATCAATTAACATGACCTGTAATAACCAACATCTGTTTTGCACCTGAAAGAACATAATGTCGTGTCCTACGCTGCAATTACCTGTTTTTGCCCAGTGAGCAATGTCAAACCATCTCACATGCTGTCAGTACAAAAATAAAGAATTACAAAAAAATATACATAAATGCATACAGAGAGGGTATTTATTTTTTTCTTTGTCAATAAAATGAACAGCTATACCGTGTGAGGTCTGACAAACCGGTATCCAGGAGGAGGCAGGCATGCTAAAGTACAGAGTGACTGGCAATTCCATCGGCTCAGGGGAGCTAACGGAAGTAGGGTGTCTCATTAATCATTTTATAAAATTTCAGATTTCTCATAGAAATACATATTAAAATGTGATACTCCTAACCCAAGCTGAAGTGCTTTATGGGTGTGGGATGGTCCTCTAAATGTTCTTTAGGGCTGGGAATATTAAATATTTTAAATTGGTAAATGTAGGTTTTTCATTGTATGTGTGCGTTACAAACATGTATACCGTCAGATTTTAATGGCACAATACCTTATTATGGTATTTCATCCATTTTCCTTTGGACAAATGAACTTCAGCTGATTTTAAAAGCTGCTTTGTGAAAATTTGTTGGCATTCAAGAAATTTTATATAATATTAGCGATTACGCCACTTTCATTACACTCCTCTGGGTTTCAGATAACATGTGCTTGACTGCTGGTGTGTTCCCCTCCCTTTAATATTTAGTCTTCAAAGTGAGAGCATATTACACATTGAAACATATTTTTTTTTTTTCCTCTTCAACATCAGTGTTTTAAATCAAGAATTGGTTTCTATGAGCAGAATTGGATCACGTTACCACGTAAATTACAAATGATCAATAGATCACTTCAGTTGTATCTTAATTTTAGCACATTACCATGAGAACCTAAACACTGTGCATGGTTTGCATACCCTCTCGGTTTTTCATTTAGAGCTCTCTGATATCTAAATTTTGGCACACATATGTTACGAACAAGGAAGGAGCCTGTCTTTGTTCAGACATAAAGATACCCCAAAAGCTCCACTGTTCCTGTACTAGAGTTCCTACACAATTCTTTGTAGGCGCATGAATGTAGAAAACCAGTTGTCATGGTAACAGTGTTTTATAGTACTCCATGGATAGGCTACACTTCATGGCTCTTTCTTTCCTGCATACAATTCTTTTTTTTCCCCCTAAGCCTAGCCCATCTGCTTTCTGCCTTTTATCTCAAAAGGGAAAAAAAGATGAAATGCTAAAATATTGTGTATGTGTGTATCCTGACAGGTGGTGACATCTTGTGTTTCAGTCATGTGATACCCGCTTTTATTTGATCTTTTCAATATTGCTGGTTAACGTGAACTGATGTTTGGCTTAACCTATTTTTAGTGGAACAAAATATGTGACTGTTAAATATTTCATTTTTAAGGTAATGTCTATTACACTTTAAAAAAAAAATAAAAAAATTTTAGGCAAATTATCCAATATATTAATTGGTCCAACATAATACTGTTTAAAACATATCGTAGCACACTGCAGTTGTAACAACTAATTGATACAATTGCTAATTGGTTATGAACATTGTCAGCCAATCTCAACATTGATTTATCTGCGTACGGCATGGAACACGTTTATTTATTTGCGTTGCATCTTTTAATATTGCTCTTTTGAAGAAAAAAAAAAGCCCTAAGAAGAGGGTCAAACGCATTGTGCTCTTTTTTTTAATTTATATTTATTTTATCGGAACTACACGAAGGATAGTATGTATAAAATTAGCTGCTGTTTTACATGGATAAAGTTGTCGCAATGTTTAATTTAGTTTCAAGTGTAACACTCTGGATGCTCAAAACTAACATCTGAGAGCTGTGATATAGTTCTGAGCTTATTTACCTTGATGTGCACTATTACCTGATTGCTGATTATATGTACTGTATAAATAATTGTGTTAGGCTTTGTCCCATTATCGACATACAGTCCTTTTGTTCTTTGGACTTTTTGGGGGGGTTTTTGTCTTTATTTACCACATTCAACCATTATGTGAATGTTATTTTAAGAGTGGACTAGATATTTTAGTTTGTTTTTTTAAAGTCCAACTAATCTTAAAAATAATTGGCTTATGTTAATAGGTTATGTAAATAGATGTAATTTGCAGCTCTCTAGCAGACAACATACTAATGCTGGTATCCCCATGTGGTTTTGTTTTTATTGCTTAAAGGACCACTATAGGCACCCAGACCACTTCAGCTCAGTGAAGTGGTCTGGGTGCCAGGTCCACCTAGGATTAACTCTTTCTGCTGTAAACATAGCAGTTTCAGAGAAACTGCTATGTGTACTTTAGGGTTAATCCGGCCTCGAGTGGCAGTCTCATTGACAGCTGCTCGAGGCGCTTCCACGCTTCTCACTGTGATTTTCACAGTGAGAAGACACCAGCGTCCATAGGAAAGCATTGACAATGCTTTCCTATGGACTGGATGAATGCGCGCGCGGGGCTCTTGCCGCGCATGCGCATTCAGCCAATGCCGTGAGAATGGAGGAAGAGAGTCTCCAGGTAAGTGTTTAACCCCTTCCTCTCCATCCAGCCCAGTGGGAGTGGGACGATGAAAAGACAAAATATGAAGCTAAAATGCAGTGATATTTTATATAAACACACGTTGGTTCAAGATCCATTTATTGTTGTGACTACTACTGGATTTGGTTTTCTGGGGGATTTTTGTCTGCTGTGTTATGAGGACAGAGTTTAAATAAAGGAAAGCTTCTACTGATAATTGCAAACCACTCTAGACATGTTGTTTTACAGAGCCTTCCACATCAAGTAATACTCCTAGTATCTTACCACAATGTGTGTACACCTCTTCACATCCATTTCTGCAAGTCATTTAGTTATGCACTGGCCCAAACCAGCTAAACATAGTGGTTTTACAGAGACTGTCTAGTGAGCAACAGCGATTGTTTTATTTAATTGAAGAAATTGTGAAGCTTCCTTAGTAGAAACTGTATTACTCCAGACTTGACTTGTTGAAATGTAAGAAAACACAAAGTGTATTCAGTTAACTTGTGATCAAGGTGTGATAAATGGGGAGTTCTATCACAAACTCTTAAAATAGTGTGTATGTGTAAACAAATAAAGGGCTAAATTAAATAAGAAAACTAATTGTTTAAAATGGTATGTGCTGAAATGGGTTTTTTTTATTTATGGGCATAATTATAAATGTTTTCATTTTTAGGACACATACTATTTTGTAATGTTTCATGTATATAATTTTTGTGGATGGAATGTTTGACTTAACTCTAATATATATATATATATATATTTTAGGTTTTATGCTAGAGATTCCGGTCTTCTAAAGTTTAAAATCCAGGCTGGACTTCTGGGACGACCAATCAACCACACAGTGCGCAGGCTTGTGGCTTTTACATTCCACCCATTTGAACCATTTGCTATATCTGTACAGCGGACTAACGCAGAGTATGTGGTCAACTTCCACATGAGACACAGCTGTACATAAGAGGAGTACCTAAACATTACCATGCTGCCTTACGTCACACTCGTCTGTTGTGAAGACCAAAGTAAAATGTTCCTTGTCCTTGTTAGTGATGAATTCTGTTTTTGTTTTTTTTGTTTTTTTTTCTTCAAGCTGCATTGATGGATAATCCCACTATTTAAATGAATTGACTGCTAAATTATAAAGCATTTGCAAAGTGCATTTTGTGACTTTTACAAATATCTATATATATGTAAAATTTTGTTTTGTACTATTTCACCAGTCAAAACAGAAGCTAATGTTCTGCTTTATGACTTTACAAAACCATATTTTATTTAGGTTACTTGATATGTGGAACGTTTTGTTCCTTTTTTTCCTCCTATATTTCCCTGTAGTCAGGTTATGCAGGGTCAGTTCTGTTTCAAATCTTTTGCATTACTTTAAATACTGTTTAACTTTTCCATGCTGTAGTGCCAGAAACAATGTATTGATATTGCATTTTAATAAGACCCCTGTTATCTATGAACAAGGTTCTGGCATCTTGAGCACCTGTGGGCTTTCCAGGAGTTTTAAATACTTGCTTCTAGAGCCCACATTGCTCAGCAGGAATGCAGAATATTCTGAGGTTTTTGTGTAAAATGCAGCAATACAGCTTTAACAGTCCTAAGGTATTAAACTTTCTCAGATACAATACGATTATCTTTAAATTGGACTATTTGACCAAGTTTGCTTCTTTCCATAAACCTCACAAAATTAAAGAAGCAATCCAGACATCATAACCAATACAACCCATTGCAGGAGTACCATGTCTCATGGTAAATAGTATTTTCTAATAGGTTCCATGGGCACCTCCATTTGTAAGATATCTATTGCAGAGGAGAACTTCAGCTTTAGAAATATCCATTACATCCATATTTGAACAAAATAAAATTCATTTCAGTGAATTCTACCAAACAGAGAGAATTGATGTCACAAAATAAAGCCTGAGTAGAGGTGACTAGGGGTTCTGGTGAGAAAACAGATTGACTACTTACCATGGAACAATGTCGGGCCACCTCTGACACCATAACTACTGCAGTGGGCTGTAGTAGATAATGAGCCTAGTCCGCCTTTAATAATGTGAAGCGTTTTCTATATTATTGAATTGTTAGTTTTGAAACAAACAGTATTTTAACAACAATAAAACCTTGACCTTTTGAATACAATTTTAATGCAAATATGCAATGTCTCATCGCTAAGTAAAAATTGTACTACTAATAAAATTTTAGTACAAGTATTTTTTATTTCTTTTATCCGCTCAAATGATGCAAATTTGCATCAACAAGATCCACTTCCCTGATTCCCCTGTATTGTTGTGCAATAGAGGTATTTTAGATATCTTCCATATAATGTCAACATTATGCCTCCATGGCTTATTCAGAAAATGTGGGCTAGAAGCACATTAGTGTTTTTTTGAATAATTAATTTAATACTATGGTATTGCTTCAGATCTGAGGAAGAAAGGAAACTCTGGAAAGCTTGTCTTTCAAATATTATGTTAGTCCAACAAAAAAAAGGTATCGTTGCATACTGCAATACTCTGGTATATTGGCATCTTGAATTAACTTACAGTTAAAGGAAAAAAAAACAAGTGTTCAAAGATTGTATTTAAACTTTTTTGTAATGTAGTAATGAGACGACCTCCTTGCTGCTGCTGGATTCTCCAACCTGATAAAATGCTTCACATAGCAAAGCACAACGTTATGTGCACTTCCAACATCTGCATACACCAGATGTAAAATGGAATACATTTTAATAAAGGCTTTAGTGGTTGGCAGACAGTCAAATGAAAATTGCAAGTTTGTGAACAGATTAATTTCTTAGAAATTGGAATGTTTTTACTTCTATAAAGTTGTATTCATTACACAATAGTTCCCTCCTAGGAGGGAGAGAGAGAAAAAAAACTTACACGTACCCGATTCTAGCCCTGATTCCCCTGCAGAACATGAAGTCCAGAGTCCGTTAGGAGGCCAAAACATGCTTAACCACCAAGGTGTGCTGCTAGTGGCTGTCTGAAAGCCACTGCAGGCAGTCTTCATGCTGCACTTTAATTGTAGTTTTTTTTTTTATAGAAACTGCAATAATTTACATTCCAGCACTAAGGGGCACATGGACACTGCACCCAGACCACTTCAATAATTTGAAGTGGTCTGGGTGCCTATAGTATCCCTTGAATGAATGAATATATGTATATTGTTTCATAAAGGTAACTTATTTTATTGCTTTAGGAGATGACCTCTTTTCCAAATTACACTGGCTAATTTGTAGGTATTAACACTTATGTAGCACCCTTTAAAATCCAGGCGCACCTACCAGCGACTGACACTCTGGGATAATTTTTAGAACTTTGGTGTCTGAATGGAGGAAATTCTGTCACATCCTTGTTTTATTCCTCTGGCGAAACATGTTCTCCAAAGGAATAATTAGGGCAACTTGCACTGTGGTTGCTGTTAAGAACATGAGAAGAACTGCCTGTAAGAGGAGTCTAGAAAAAGTACATTGACAGAGTTCTATATAGATGCTTAAAATGTTTAGGAACAGAAACTCTTTTCATTTACATAGAGGTATCTGCTCACCTACACATTGTGATTACATTTTTGTTATTTTCCCTCTGCCTAAAATACTCTTAATTTGACTTGTGAAATGCACTTTTGGCAATTTAAGTGTTTAAAGTATTTTTGTCACATAAAAACACATTGAGTAACTTCTATGCAAAGAATAAAACACTAAATACATTACTTTTTAAGTAACCTCATATCCCCACTCCCCCATTCTCAGACTTGTAAAAGTGTATAAATGATTATAGTTGTACCTTCTGCACTAAAAATAAAATTTACGTTTTTCGTTGTGGAATGCAATGTTTAGCGAGAGTGGTACTTTATTTTCTTTCTGGTTTGTAAGGTTTTGTTTTTTTGTTTGTTTTTTCTCAGTGTTATGTAGCTTATGTTCACATAAATTAACCGGTAAATGAAACGGCACAGAATACCTCTCCTTACCATTACTTGCTTCTTTTCTGTATTTGACATTTGTGTGTTCAATTGTGGTATGTGGAGTATGAAATGTGTGATAGTCCTATTAAATGCTTGAATGCATCATTTCATATTTTCTATCACTCTTTTAAATGGTTTATGTACACTAGATTTGATCATAAAACATTATCTATTTATTTAACCCGTAATGGAATCAAATGCATTAAAATGGATTATATAAATCTTCCCTATATAAAGAATGTTAAGCAACCTTTACTTTAAAAAAATAAAAATAAAAGCTGTTAAAGCAAGCGTAGAGGCAATGTATGTAACAAAAGGCATAAACCATTTTTGCTAAGCATCTTGCATAACAATCCCCACTTTATGTCAAAAACCTTCCAACCTTGAGGTTTAACAGGAACTTTGTCTCTGTTTAACTTGTCTTTGTTTTCTGAAGGTGAAATCTGTGTGGGTGTGATAATACTAAGTAAATATATTTTTATACATTTTTTTTTTTTTTAATGTAACAAGCTAGTGGTAGCAAGAGTGCGTTTTCTAGCCTGATCACTTTGCCATTATACATTTTAAACTCCTGTTTTGGCTGCAGTTAGAGAAAATATTTTATTTTTATTGCTGTAAAAATATACGTGCAAAAGGTAGAAAAACCTGCTGTGTAAAGTAAACCTCTTTATAAAATGTTTTTTTAAACAATGCCAATGTATAGCCATATATAGTGATGTATATTTTATATACCCTTGTGTATACATTTCTGATATTTGTTTTAATTTAAATAAAGTTTGTTTTTTAATTAATATTGCTGTAATTTCATTTATTTTGGAAGTGTTAAATGTGAACATTTTTAATGCGGGGTAAGAATTTTTCTACAAACAAATCTTGTGGCATAAGGGGAGACAGAAATGTGTTCTTCGACTTGATAGTACATCAATTATCCAAGGAAAGGTTGGAATAAACACACTCACTACTCTCTGCAACCACTAACAGCAATAATACAAAGAAAAACATACAAAAAGAAATGTGTGCATGTTGGTTTGACCAGTTTAATTTTATGACAACGGGGAAGCACTGTATGATTTTATTCTAAAGTCAAATAAACTTTGTATTTTCACTATAGCCATAAGTTACAAAAGCTAAAACTTTACTCCTACTTTTAATATCATACTCGAGACCTTTTATATGAATTGTTCATCTTTTTGATCTATAAACACTACTCTCTTCCTATCTCCTTATAATTTGTTTCTTTTTTGCAAATATTTGTATATTACCCTTTCCAATTTCTGCATCCTGTAATTACCATGTCCTAGGGGACTAGTTTTATTGATTCAATTAAAATTCAACCCCCTTTTAAATTAATATGAATACCTGCCTTAACATTGCTTTACATGGTTTCCAAAAAGGATATGGAATTTGAAAGTGCACTAACATTCTAGAGAAGTAACGAGAATGTGTAAGATTTTAGCTACTAAGATTGACAGAAGAGCCAATCAGTTAGACTTTAAAGAGGTACTCTACATATGCTATAGTGGTTATAGTGCCAGCAAGCTCTGGCACAATCCCCTAGTGCTGTGCCATACAGCTTTCAACAATTTGACATAAATTGAGTGTGATACAACCTCTTAAGCCTATTACAGCTGTTTGTTAAAATAAAGCTATGATCAAAAGCTATCCCAGGAAGATGTCATTAGCATGTCTCCTAGGATATCTTCAGTTTTCAAACAGTTTAACCCCAAAGTGCTGTTCACAGCATCCATTCTCCTTGTTCCTGTCTTCTCCTCCGACCCAAACTTTGATGCAAATGCCTTTTCTCTGTTCTTTGGTGATAACCTGAGAGTGTCAGCTGATGCCAGTCACTGGCCTTATATTGAGAGAAATTATATGGGGTTCTTTCTAAAGCATTTTTGTTGTCACTGGGAGGAGACCAGGATATGGATATTGTACCCATTATTTAATGATCCAAAATCATCCGGTAGACCTTAAACTCCAGGATTTCAATTGATAAATTCACTATCTCAAATTCAATATGGGAATAGTACAATATAAATCTTATTGCTAGGAGACTGTGTGGCACCCTTGGACTTTGATGGGGATATCCAGATAGGTCTACTTTATTGACCTACGATAAGATTCTGTCCCTGTGGTAAGTCACAAAGTGCATTTGCAGTTCTCAACTCTCCTGTATTTGTTTGCTGTCCTCATACCTTCACAAAGTATATGATTTTCACAGCTGCACATCTCAGGAAAGAAAGTCTTTAAGTCTTTGACTTTTACATACCAGTTCTTTAGAGTTGCAGTCCATCGTCTGTGTTACAAGTTTATATAAAGAGTGATTTGTGGATTAACCCTAGAATTGTAAGAAGAAAACAACTTTTATGAAGTTAATGGAGCAAAAGAAAACAACTTTTTTGAAGTTATTGTAGCACTATTTGCACCTAGACCACTTCATCTCAATGATGTGGTCTGGGTGCCACTTACCCCTCTACCACATTTTAACCCTGCAGCAGAGTAATAGCTCCACTATTTCAGTGGAGCTCTTTTATAAAACAATAAAAAAGTGTCTGGTATCCTGTATCAAGCATTGCGTCCCAAGGGACTTCTTCAGGGATATCTCTGAAGAAAATTGCTTGAGACAAAACAAGTTGGATATAGGATACAGAGACTCTTTGTTTTTTATCTCTTTATTATTTTTTTTGTAGTGTTATTTTGGTTTTTATTCTCTGCTCATTTTGCACACTCTGTAAATTCTAATGTGAACAGTTGATTCCTTCCTTTTCATCATTGATTCATTTTTACATGGAGATATGCTGTTTTGATCCCTTTCTTTGTGAGTGCATTACTTTAATACATTTCTGTTTTGTTATACCATCCGCACTATTCTGCTTACTTCTATCTGCCTCTTATATGAACCAAGAAGATTACCACCTGCAAGAACACTTACATCCTCTATTGGTTACCCTTTTTGAAGGTAGATAAGCACAAATTTTTATTTTGTGAGTTCTCTACCACCCTTCACCTTTTATTTTATTTGTACAATAGTGAACTATGTGCATTTTATTTCTTTGCAAACTTGAATCTTGGTTTTGATTCCTCTACTATATTCACTCTTTATGGTTGTATTGCATCCTTTTAGAAGTCCACTTTTAGTGTGTATTGTTATAATTCATCTTAACCTCCTTCACTTTGTGGTTTGTGTTTTACATTTGTATTGTGGGAGTTTTTGATAGAGAACCTTTTACTAGGAGGTTATTCTTTGTTTCTATATCCACAGTGTTTTAGTGGTATTCACTTTGTTTGGTTCACTTTTATAAACAACCCCCTGTGAACCTTTCTGGGACCAAGTCACTTGTTTTTGGATGCAGTGATCATCCCTTAAAAAGGTGTCAAGTTTTTTCCTGTGTATGAAGCTATGCATGAGGCAGTTGTGAATGCAATATGAAAGCTTCATATAGATAAGATAATGAGCACCATGTGTTTGGAATATATGTCTCTTTATATTTAAGGACTGTATGCATTACTATGCCTCTAAATACGCTTCTCCTGTTGCTGTTCAATGCAGAAGGCAATTTATTCATTTTTTTTTTTTTATCTTAAGCCATTTTATGTACCCAACCATTAATATGTTAGTCAAGTGTTTTTGGTTTTTATTTTCTCTCCACATGCATATTGGTATACCCAAGCACAGAAGTCTATTGCAGTGAACTTAAATGAATCTAACGTCATATTTCCATTCACTTGGATTCTAAAAAGCTATGTGTTTCAGGGCCATCAATATCAGTTGGTTTATAAATAGTTCCTTCTGCATTCTTACGTCTCGTCTGCTCACAAGTTGCTTACACTGTGTATTCATAGTATATTCTTTCATTTAGCACGTTTTTGAGAAGCACAGAAGTATGCAATATTTTTGGTGTTTTTGCTTGAGTCCCATAGATTATCATGTTTCCAATAATTTAATTCCAAAATTACACCCAACGTTCTTGACCACTGACATCTTGTGATTTCTAAGATTGGACCCCTACATGTCTTGACTCAGATAGTGGTATCTATAAAAAAGCTTTACACATTTAGGTGACTCGGTCAGTGCTGCCAGGGTGTAAAAAAAGTTATTTAAAAAAATTTCCCACACCAGCCTTGTCTCCTCACTCATGCTCTTCACTACGTTAACCCTGCAAAGAATACATTAAACACATCAACTACAGTGTTAAAAGGGGGGCACGTGGCATCTAGGCCTCTTTATTGAGATGACGTGATCTGAGGTCTGTAGTGTTCCCTTAAATCCTATCCTGATTTTTTACATGTATCGTAACAAACATTGCCCATTAGCTCCAAAAAAATATCAGATTTCATTCTTATTAGTGATTTGCTATTGGCCTTTGGCTCTCTTGCATCATTACATTTCTACTTGAGCTCAAAAGTTTGCACACCCTTGGAGAATTGGTTATATATGTTCCATTTTGAAGAAAACACGAGTGAGCAGGCAAAACATATTTGTCTTTTTACAGAACAGCCTGTATTTCTTCTGAAGTAACCTGGGGGTTTTTCTTTGTATCCCGAACAATTCTTCTGGCAGTTGTGGCTGGAATCTTTCTTTGTTTACCTGATCTTGGTTTGGTATCAAAAGATCCTGGAATTTTCCACTTCTTAATAAGTATTTGACGGTTCTATTTGAGTCTCAGATATGAAGTGCACGCCCCAAATAAAATTTTTAGCACCAAACAAAATGTGAATTAGTCAAACTGCTATGTCACAGCAGTATTTGACGGTTCTATTTGACTCTCAAATATGAAGTGCACGCCCCAAATTAAATTTTTAGTAGGGATCGACCGATATTGATTTTTTAGAGCCGATACCGATACCGATAATCTGCGAACTTTCAGGCCGATAGCCGATATCTTGCCGATATTCTGTACATTTACTATTTTGAATAAATAAACTAATTCGAAAGGTAAATGCACAAAATATACATGCCACATGTAGTGGATGAAGTGTGTTTAGACAGGGGAACTGTGTGTGTTTGTGTAGTGTGTGTGTGTGTGTGTGTGTAGTGGATGCAGGGTGTGTGTTTGTGTAGTGTGTGTATAATATGTAGTGTGTATATAATGCAGTGTGTAGTGTGTATATAATGCAGTGTGTTTATGTAGTGTGTGTATAATGCAGTGTGTTTTTGTGTGTGTATGTAATGCAGTGTGTGTGTTTGTGTAGTGTGTATGTATGTAATGCAGTGTGTGTTTGTGTAGTGTGTGTTTGTGTAGTGTGTATGTAATGTAGTGTGTGTGTATGTAATGCAGTATGTGTACTGTGTTTGTGTAGTGTGTATGTAATGCAGTGTGTGTATGTAATGCAGTGTGTGTGCAGTGTAGTGTGTGCAGTGTGTGTCTGTAATGCAGTATGTGTGCAGTGTGTGTTTGTGGTGTGTGTGTAGTGTCTGTCTGTGTAGTGTGTGTATGTAATGCAGTGTGTGCCTGTGTAGTGTGTATGTAATGCAGTGTGTGTGTATGTAATGCAGTATGTGTGCAGTGTGTGTTTGTGTAGTGTGTGTGTGTGTTTGTGTAGTGATGTAATTTGTGTAATTTTTTATTTTAATATTTTTTTTATATTTAAATTTTTTTTGTTTAGTCCCCCCCCAGTGTGTGTTTGTGTAGTGTGTGTTTGTGTAGTGTGTATGTAATGCAGTATGTGTGCAGTGTGTGTTTGTGTGTGTGTGTGTGTGTAGTGATGTAATTTGTGTAATTTTTTATTTTAATATTTTTTTTTAATATTTAAATGGTTTTTTTTTGTTTAGTCTCCCCCCAGTGTGTGT